AGAACTAGACGATTCCAGAAAGAGTTAGATTAGTATCACCTGGGCTCATCCATCACATAAGGAGTTGGATCAGCATCACCTTAGGTCAACAATCGCAAAAGAGTTGGGTCAACATTTTCGAAAGAAGAAGTTCATAATGAGAACTTCTTCAATCAGGTCAACCATTGCAGAAGAGAGTATATTAACATTCCCAGCGAAGAGTTCATAATGAGAAGAACTCGTCTGATAAGAAGAAATTGGAGCTCAAGATTTTAGCAGCTCAGGCCAGATAAAAAATGGTGCTTACTATCTTTGCTCTATTCCTATTCCACAACAATGAGCAAATAGGGGCAGCTGTAACCACCATTTATTATTATTATTATTTTATTATTAAGAAATAATTTAATATTGTATTAGTTGGGGTTATAATAACCCTAACCAACTTTGTAATAACCCTTTTCCCCGAAAATCTAGAAAATATAATGTGACCCTTTTTTTACTCCATTTTCTTTGGCTCCATTTTCTTTGGCTCCATTTCTCTATCTTTTTCTTTCCTTTTCTTAGGTGAACTGCAAGGCATAGGGAGTGGCCACCATTGAGCAGTAGCCGACGAGCAAGGGAGACCGACTTATGATCAAATAATGTTGGTGGTTAGTGACCAACATTGATCTCTGATGTCTTTGGGGGGCTTAGCTCGAAATAAGGAAGAATGGTGGTCTAATTTAGGGTCGGTTTGGTTTTCTTGGTCGGGGAAGTTCCTTGGTTTGTGGTGGCCAGAGACGTGGATGAGTCACTTACAAATGTCGCCGGCGTTGAGGTTAGTTTTAAGCTTTCTTGGTCGTATGTGTATATATATATATATATATATATATATATATATATATATATAAAGAGAGTGAGTTTTCCTCGGTCGGCCTTTCTTTGGTCGTGTCGGGGTCGCAAGTTGGTATAAGTTGGCCACTGGCCCGGTGGCCGATGTGTCAGGGCCGGTGTGGCCGGTGAGGAGTTTTGGAAGCTTGGTAAGCTTCGACTGATTACGTGAAGAGAGGGGGGATGTTTTCTGTTTTAAAGAAAAGGGTAAGTCACGCACAAGTTCTCTTTGTTTAACGTGTTTCATATTTTGGTCACCTATTTTGTGGGTTAATAACCCTCAGGTCCTCCCTGTTTAGCGTCCTATCATGTTTTGGTCATCATTTTAAGGGAAAACCATGCCCCAATCCCCTTATCTTTGCTGTGTTTTTCGATTTTGGTCACTAGATGATTTTTTTTTTATTTTGTTTTTTTTATTTGAACTCACTGTTTTGCTTTCCTTTTTATTTGATCACTGATTTATGCATTTTTTATTTCGAATTAACCACTAACTTTTATTTTATTGCACTCTAACCATTGCTTATTTATTTATTGTAATAAATATTCGATACGACCTTGTGGTGACTCGATCCGGAGTACGATCCACATTATTATGGTTCGGACTCTATTAACTCCTAACTGTAATTTTTTTTATTAATTTGTTTGAATTATTATATGACCTTGCGGTGACCCGATCTGGGGTACGATCCGCATTATTATGGTTCATACTTTGCTAACATTTCTATCATTAACTGCTACTAATATCTAACCACTACCGCTAATTTTTATTTATTTATTTATTTATGTATTTTATTTTATGTTCGAACTATAGTACGACCTTGCGACGACCTATCCCGGGGTACGACTCGCATTATTTCTGGTCCGGGTTAAATATTAAAAATTAACACTAACATTTTATTTTTATTGCTCTTTTATTTTTGTTATTTAATTTTATACACATTTAATTTTCTACCCTTTAATTTTTATTTATTTAATTTCAGTCCTTTAATTTCATTACTTTAACTTTCTGTCTTTTTATTTTTGTACTTCATTTCTCAGTACTTTAATTTTAGTCTTTTGATTATTGCACTTTATTTTCTGTTTATTTTATTTTAGTCCCATGAGTATATATGCATGTTTCATATTTTATCACATTGAATGCCTTATTTTTCTATCTTGTATTTTGATCCTTATGTTATTTATGATTTTATTTTATTTAAGCACTTATATTTGTTTGATACTTATTTTTGGGTCTTTGCTTTTTATTGTGTTTATATTTTTGTCATTCAAGTTTAAACTTTCATCATCTAGCATGATTAATTAAATTTGTTCAAATTGGCTTAATTTTTTTTACTTTGGTCGAATCAAATTATTTTAATATTGAGTTCTTGGGAGAAACTATTATATTCTTTTTATTTCATTTAGAAAGAGAAATATTTGTCCTAAAGTATTTTAGGGATTATTTTCTCTTCGATTGGAAATATTGGAATATTTTCTATTTTTCCTTAGAATTTTCCGTTAAATAAAAATTGTACGGTTGAATTTGGAATAATAGGATCGTAACTTATATTTATATTTAACTTCTTAGATTTACATTATTAGAGACAATTTATAATCGATGGGTACCAATTTTGGGCGTTGTGGGGATGTTTATCCTTCTCCACACGTAATCGACCCCTGAACCCCTTTTTGTGGCAAAAAAAAGTGAATTTCTGGTTACAAGTAGATTGATGCATCTTTTAAAATGATGTTTTCATAAAAATCTTTTAAAAGGTGGTTTATGGGTATTCAATTTATTTAACCCAAAAGATTGATGGCGACTCCAAAACATTTCTTTTACAAAATCAAATTTTTCACAAATAAGTCGAGACACATCGTATCACCGAAAATCGATTACGATACCCTGTTTCACCAATCAACTCCAGCGCATACTTTCGCTGATTTAAAACTATATCCTTCTCTGACCGTAGGACATCAATTCCCAAGGAAAACTTCAATTCACCCAAGTCATTAATCTTGAATTTGTCATTCAAAACTTCTTTAAATCTCTAATCATCTCATCACCGTTTCCCGTTATAAGGAGATACTCTACATAGACCAACAAAACTACAACACTGTTTCCACTTTTCTTTATGAACAACGAATAGTCAAACCAGCAAAGATCAAGGCCTTAGTTAGCTTTAAATTCCATTGCCAAGACGCTTGCTTCAAGCCATATAATGATTTTTGCAGCCGACATACCATACGCTCCCCTTGTTGCAAAAACCCTCCGAAAACGACATATAAACCTCTTCAAAAGGATTCCGTCAAAGAAAAGCATTAGAGACATCCATATAAAAAATCAGCCAATAAAAAATAGAGGCAATGGCTAAAACAGAACGAATAGTAACCATCTTGACCACCGTTGAAAAAGTTTCCATAAAGGTAACCCTCTCCTTTTTGAATATAACCCTTCGCAACCAAACGAGTTTTATAGCGCTCAATTTCACCAGAAGCATCATATTTAATCTTGTATACCCATTTGCAACCAATAGGGACATTAGCTAAAGGTAAAGGGACCACTTTTCCAAGTGTTATTAGATTCAAGGCTTTAATTTCTACAATTAAGCTCAAACTATATAATAAGGATGGGGAAGAATTAAACATAAAAAGATGTATATAATTACAACTTATCAATATTTTAAAAACAAAAAAAATTTATAAAATAGAGTAAACTACATTAGATACCATCGAACTATAGGCGTTTTATTGTTTATACCTTTGAGCTTTCAATTTCGTCAATTATAACATTGAATTTTGGTATTCGTTTCAATTGTACCACTGAATTGTTAAATCGTTAATGGCACAATGACTTGGCTGACAGCCGTCGACATGGCTGATTGCTGTCGATGTAGACATATCTCCAAAACGACGTTGTTTTGATCCAAATGTTAACGATTTAACGGTCAAGTGGTATAATTGAAAACAATTAAAGTTCAATGCTATAATTGATAAAATTAAAAGTTCAGTAGTATAAACAATACAATACCTAAAGTCCGATGGTATCTGATGTAGTTTACACTATAAAATAATACTACGTTGCTAAACAATATGTTCACTACTTTCTATACTCGTAGTTTAAATTTGATATACTAATAAAATTAGTCTCAATATTTGTATAAATGATCATTTTAATTAGTTATTTTTTCAGTATTTTAACCTTTAATATTTTAGCTTTTGTCAAAATAACATATATTGGATGAAGATCGTTAACTGACTATCGGTCAATATATGTTATCAATGTGATGTTCTTATATGTTTTTAGTTAATGATGTGACACGTATCACGTCACTAAAATGATATTATAGTATGTGCCATATCACTCAAAGTGATTGTGTGTCATGGGTCACAACATCAATTAAATACATGTGTTGGTCAACACTGTTTTCTATTTAATATTGGCTATTTTAACTGAAAATTGAACTTTGGGAACTATAATACTCCAAAAAATAAAGACAAAGTGATCAATCATACAAATTGTTTAATGTTAATTTTGTCATTATACTTTTTGGATTATGTTGAAGCTCTCTGTTCTAAGTTTTACTTCTTTCTTGCTTTCTTCGATCTGTAACAAATGATTATTCAAGTCGAATTGATTTTCCTTGCTTAAGGTATGAACGAAATTTTTTTTAGCTAGGGTTATTAAATTAGTTGGAATCAAAATTGCAACCTTTTTGATGAAATGCCAACGACCCATCGACCTTTTAAATAGCCGAAGTGCTTATTGTCTCCCTGACGATCAAAATTCCATCGGCCTCTCCATTTATACAGCGATACATGAATGTTTCTCAACCGTGATTATTAATCATCACGATGATTCTCCATAAGTTTGAATTTTACACTTAAATCGTCGACGGATGCTGACAAATTCAATGTAACTATGACAGTTGCAGGCAAGTTTCAATTGTAAGAAATTTCCTCACGTTGGGTACAGGTGACAATGACTTTAGTTAATATCTATGATAAATATTGACAACTTTAGTATAATTTGACATCGTTCACTCAATAATTTTCAATCTGACATGAAACACAAGCTTTATTTTTACAATACTTCCCTTCTATTTCACTTGAAAAAGGGTGAGCGGGAAATATCCCATTCTGTAAAATTACAGTGAACAGATTTATTTGTCTGTGTTTGCTTCTTCAGAACACCTATATCGTTTAGTTTACTGATTAATGCCTGAGAATAAGAAAAATGACTTTGCAGGTTTAATTGAAACTAATTGAGTATTTTTCCTGTTTGTTTGGGAAAAACAACCCCCAATGTTTCTCATGTTCCGGTTCTTTTTGGTTCTCATCAAACATGGCAAACAAGTAAGCTTCAATAGCTTTTCCGGGTTTCTTCGGAGTCCCCTGTCCCTGATTCACATGGCGAACCAAGTTCGTGTTATAAGTCCTTGCATTATCGGCACTCGTGGCTTGTCCACCGCTCGATGGCCAACCAGTTTCCGAAACAACAATGTCCAAAGCTCCCCCACCAGCCTTCTCCAAGGCGGAGTAAAATGCATCCAGCATTGCGTCAAAAAGGTTCTGGTACTGCAGCGGACCATCTGTCATTACTCCGGATGGAGCTGTAAAGAGAGCATAATCAAGAGGAACATCTCCAGGGTTTCCAATGTGGCTAAAGTATGTGTAAGTATTAACAAGTAATGGAGCTTGCTTGTCCCTCAAGAAACCTATGACCGGACCAAGAAGCTGCTGGTAATCGGGATGAAAACTGCCATCCGACGGAGGGAAAGACACTTGAAGAGCGGCGAAAAACGTAGCGGTCGAAACTTTGATCTGGTCCCCAAGACCTTGTCCAACTACCGCGTTAAGAATGTTCTGCATCGCCGGGTAAAGGTATTGAGCGAACGAATCCGAAGGCTTTACTTCATTCCCGACAGCAATGTATCGAAAACTAACAGTGCTGTATCGCTTGACGTTGTCTCGGACCCATTGATCTGCATTGGCTTGACTGGCAGCTACGTATCCAAGGTCCACGTTCGGAACATCTAACAGCAGCTTGATGTTGGAACCTCTGAGGGCTTGCAGAGCCTCTCGGTCGGGAGCATAGAGTCGCATTAGTCGGATGTCTTTTTGTGGATAAAGGTCTATGACTTCGGCTGTCGGCGGTAAGTTCTGAGCCACCATTCCATAACAAACACCAACTTCGGCTCCTGCATTGGATTAATTCTACTTTGGCTTAATATACAGAATACATTAACAAGGAGAATGTAATGGAATGAAAGAGAGACCTGCGGTTTTGAAGATAGCTAGTAGCAATCCAAAAAGAAGAAGCATAGTGGAAGGCATGGACGAAGAAAACAAGCTTTAGCTGCTTTTGAAACGTACTCTGTTTTAAGAACTGATGCGATGCTTGCTCCAACACAAATTCTCACAACAATTTTTATAGGGAAATATAGCTCGGGATTGTTTGGTGGCTGGCCTATTACTCTTTGGAAATTTATATTAGAGACGCAAAAACTCTTGGAATCATTCAACGTAACTTTGAGTTCGATTGACCTGGGTTTATGTATGAGAAAAAGGCCAAGTCAAATTATTTTTCTATCTTCATTCAGCTGTTTTGTACAAGTCAATTCCACACGCAATGATTTCTTGGAGTATCAGTAATAAAGAAATTAATAACATTAAGTTTCATTGAAGTTCTTTTAATTGCCTTTGAATGATTTTTAAAATTTCTAATCATTTGAGTGAAAAAAATGTTGTAATTGTTACTCCTTAGTTCGTGCATGTTGACAAAGCTTATAATGTGTAATAAAAAAAAATACACCAATTTTTATTATTATCGAGAATCGAACTAAAAAGTGATTTGGTTCGTGTCTCAATCTTAATTAACGATTAAAATTACGATAAATTGAGAGATAAATTAATACTACAATCTTATGTGTATAACACTAGTCCATGATAAACTAACCAAAGATTAAAATTATCAGGCATTGCTCTTTTCCTGTATTGGGGTATTTAGAATTCAAAGATTAGATAGGTATCTGCGACATATTTTAACAATACAAGTTATTAGATTTTGCCAATGGACCCATTAAACGGGAATGGTGGGCGGAAATCTTCCTAGTTGGGTGAAACTAACCAGTCGCGGACATATTACTTCTTCAATACACTAATTGTCGGTGATGCTTAGATTTAAAGTATTTTTAATGTTATTTCATTGTATAATATTTTTACCTTCATTATTCGGCTTATATGGATAATTCTTTTCATTTTTTTTATCATTTAAAGCAAAACATTTATTTTGAAACATTCTTTTTTTTTTTTGATTTCATAAATTTTTTTGATTTTTTTTCAATTTTGAAGTAAGAGTATTACCGTCAAAATTCGCTCCAAATTTCGAGTATATAAATTCTTAGAAAGATAGAATTAATCTTATGAGATGTTCATTTATTGTAACAATTACACACAAGAGAAATCCACTTCTAAAGCAATAATTTACAAACGACATGATAATTTGTTCTTGCACTTTATTATGTATTAAAATGATTCCTTGTAGCAATATACTTTCCAGCGTAATCAAGTAAGAGTTTAACAACGTTAGGCCCAAATCTACATCAATCTATAAATGTTACGACGATTAAAATCAACAGAATTTTTCAATTTAAATGATTAAATTATTTTGAATTAGAGTCAAATTGATATATATTATAAGTTTTTGAAATTAAAATTATGCCAATTAATTATCTCGTTTGACATTTAACGATCTTGTGACTTGTTTGTAACAATATTTTAAGTGAATGATTGAATTGTAATTTTTAGGAAAAAATGAACATCTGTAACTTAACTCATGTTTAATAACCCAGAATGCATTTTACTCATTTTAGTTTTGGGGTAAACTACATTACAAGCCATTATATTATGTGTAAGTTTACAATTGAGTCATTAAATTTTAAAAAGTCACTATTGAATCACTCTGTTTATCAATTATAAAAATCATTTTTCTTCATCGCCAAATGTGTAATGGAGATTAGCTTTTTAGTTATGTTTGAGTGATATAATTATTATAAATGATAAATAGAAAATTTGATTGTTACAATTGATAAATATAATGACATTGGTTGTAATTAAAAAGTTACTGTCCATTACACTCTTAACAACAAAGTGATTTAATTGTTAAAATCAATAAATAGAGTAACCTAATCGTAACATTTTGAAATATGATAGACTTAATTATAAAAATATTCATAAATATGCCGACCCATGATATATTTTACCCTTAATTTTATTAGTAGAATATTCAATCTCATTGGCAAAATATTTATTTAAATATAGTTCCACAAGAATGAACCAAACCACCTTGGTAAATGAATTTTATTATTTCTTAAATCTCGAGTTCGAGCGCTAAAGATACTAAGAGTACGAGTGCCAAGCGGTTGAGAGTTATCTTTGAATTTGATTTATGGATGATCAGTGAACTCATTGATTATTCCCACTGCTTAATTATATATACATTTACGTATGTGTTTTTCACTGCAAAAATTAACAAAGTGGAGCCGTTTTGGATTTGTTGCGGATGCTTCCGACGTCTTTGTTGCATAGTTTAGAAATTAAAGTACCGAAGCTAACAGAAAATTCAAAGCTTGAAACTTACGAGAACCTTACGCTAACAGCGCTGTTAATGAGATGAAGGCTTCCACTATCATTTTCAGTTTAAACTGGAACCTAAAATTTTCATGTTTTCTTCCTCTTTCCTCCGGCCTATCCGATTCTTGCTAAGTTCAGGTATTTTCGTCCTCTTTTCTTTTTGCAATTAAACTGGAATTATATACCTTAATAAATTGTTTTGGAAGCAATAAAAGTGAAGTTAGAAATCTTGCCCAGCAATTCCTGATGTTATGAGGGATTTGGATGTAGGGCTAAGTTGGTTAAGAGTAGAGGAATTTTGGGATTATCATGGGATTTGTGGATCTATTAATTGTGGCACTGATTCCAGTTATACAAGTGCTGTTCACTACTGGTGTTGGTTTATTCATGGCTGTGGATTCGGTGAACCTGTTGGGTCCTGTGGCCTCGCACTCCTTGAATAATGGAAGTAATTCACATTTTTCACCCTCTTTGCATATGATAAATCAAGCATAAAAGTTGTAAGCAAGGGCCAAGTATGGGATTTGCATTGGATCTTTATCAAAGTTATGAAGTTTTAAGAATTGAAGTTAAAATTTTTGTTAAAAATTGAATCATTAATTTTTTAGGACTGAATATTCAGTTTTTCATTTACAAAAAGAATAGAAAAAGTGGATTTGTCAAATGAATTTAAAAATTCAATCCATTAATTTGAATCTAAATTCAGTTTGACCATCAAAAGTTAACAATTCAATCTTTGAAATTTAAATACAAAATCGACTCAAATTTAAAAGGATTCATATCCGAAATGATTCGAACTTGAAATGACTTAAATATGAAATAATCTAAAATCTAAATGGCTCAAACATATAATCTAAATTATTTCATATTCTCTTCGGTATCTGAACAGCTTGTTTACTTTTTGTTCTGCCCCGCGCTTGTGATCAGCAGCCTCGCCGAGACTATCACTCTTGAAAGTTTGGTCAGCCCGTCAGTTAAAATTTCACTTATTATTAGAACAAATTTTACATAATTATCCAATTCATTGTGAACACTACAATTCATTAATTTCTATCAATCGGTTTAGCTGGTTCATGCCAGTGAATATCCTTCTTACTTTCATAATCGGTTCAGCACTTGCTTGGTTTCTCATCCAAGTCACTAGAACTCCCCCACATCTGCATGGCCTCGTCATCGGTTGCTGTTCTACCGGTAGGTGGTGGGACTGCTACCACTTGTTTGCGGCAGTGTGGCCAATTGCTAATGATCATAAAACCCTTTGTGGTTCCTAATATGAGTGCAGGAAATGTGGGAAACTTGCTTATTATCGTTGTGCCGGCTGTCTGTCAGGAAGCAAATAGTCCTTTTGGAGATTCATCTTCCTGCTCTACTTCTGCCGAGGCTTATGCTTCGCTTTCTATGGCTGTAGCAGCAATTTACATATGGTCTTATGTGTATATCATCATGAGAGAGTGTGCAAATAAGAGCATTGCCTCAATCGAAGACATTCAACATCGAACATAGATATTCTAAAATAGAGCTCGAAAACACGACGTGTGGAGAGTTGCAAAGAAAGTTTACTGCCTTCTTCGATGCATTGTGCTGAAACGCCTGGCAGCGGCTCTGTTAAAAGAATGCAGGTTATTCCAACTTTACTTTATTTATGAATTATAATCTAAAAGTTAATGAAGCACACACATGCTTTATATTGTCTGCAATTCAATTCTGAAACTTTATATGAACGAAGACATACATAAATATGTTATGCATTTTGACTTGGAACTTGTTTAGGTCCCAGTTATTGAAAAGATACTTCACTTGATCAATATGATTGCTGAGAAGGTCGAGTTCAAGATGATATTTGCACCATAAACAGTTGCAGCGGTACTCTGAAGTTTCTTTTGACGTCTTTTTTCTTTCTATATATTTGATTGCAAATCAATTACTTTTTCTATGATACTTATGTAAAAGGTAAAGAAAATTACAAAATTTTGCATTATTATAGCCAGGTATATGTTACCTGAATGTCATGTTGTTAGGAAATAAACGAGTCACAAGTAATTTTCCTATAACCAGATTAGTGGGAATGCGAAATAAAAGCGGAAAAATAATACCCGAAAATTGATAACGGAGTTCAGCCAATTGTACTTACGTCTCCGGGGTGCTGCAGATCTTTTACTAAGAGAGAAAATTTACAGGTGTTTACAAAACACTCACTACTCACAAGAAAGCTCTCTAGTATAGGAAGAAAGAAATGTTTTTGGATGATTTTGAAGCTAAATGAGCTAGGGTATTTATAGCTGAAACTTAGGGACTAATCTTGTAAATACCCTAAACTATGCAGTGGCTAAAATATAATTAAACCAAAAAACATTTTAATTAAAATATTGGGGCACCGAATTCGGTGCCCCTTTGTTGAAAAATGATACTGGCTTTGCAGAAAAAAATCATGCCCCCGCCTACCCTTTTTGACTTTACAATCTCCCACTTGAAGACTGATTTTAATCTGTCTTCACACCTCGATCGATGCAGCAGCATTTCTAGTCTTGTTATTCTAGCATGCCAACTGAAGTTGAACACAACTTCAGTTTGTCCGTGGTCACCGTCTTTGTCAACATGTCTGCCGGATTTTGAGCTCCACTGATCTTTTCAAGTTTTAAAATCCTATCTTCCAGAAGAGACCGAATAAAATGATATCGCAATTGTATATGCTTCGTTCTGGAATGAAAAGACGGATTCTTCGCTAGATGGATAGCACTTTGACTGTCGCAATACAAGACATTGTTTTCTTGTTTATTGCCTAACTCTTCCAAGAAA